AACTTCAGTGTCAGCTTGACACACCTGGGTTGAGGGAGCCTCGATTGAGGAATTTCCTCTATTGGACTGGCTTGTGTCTGTGGGGCATCTTCTTGATGAGTGATGTGGGAGAGCCCAGCCCACTGTAGGTGGTGCCACCCCTGGGCAGGTGGTCCTGTGTTGCATAAGAAGGCAGGCTGAGCAGGGGCCAGGGAGCAAGCCAGTAAGCAGCATTCCTCAATGGCTTGTGCTCCAGCTTCTGCCTCCAGGTTCCTGCCCTGAGTTCCTACCTCGGGCTCCCTAATGAACTGTGACCCAGGAGATGTAAGCTAAATAAACCCTTTCCTCCCCAAGTTGGTATTGGTCAGAATGTTTTGTCACAGCAATTGAGAAACAATCTAGGACAGTGTTGGTGGAAAGGTTTCTGAGAGAAGGCTTCCCCTGGCAGCCTTCTCCAACAAAAAGAATTTATGGGCTCAATTTAATCAGCAAAGTCCTCAGAGGGATGGGAATGGTCAAAGATTGAGCTGCTGTGAATTATTCATGGTGTTTAAGTGCAGGTGCTCTTCTGGAAGAGCAGTTAATGTGAGCATGGGCAGCAGCACAACTGCTATGGAAGCAGACAACTGTCCTTTCTTTTACCATGAGAGCCCAAGGGATAGCTTCTAAGACCCTTAGGAATGCAATCTACTTCAGGTAAGACCACAAGGAAGGTGGCATTTCCTTATTCCAACACCTCATTCTTCTCTCAATTATTTCTATTTGCTATTCTCTACTTTCACCTCAGGATAAATAACTTTACATCAGTGTGCAGCCTCATCTAGAAGATGGTACCATTTTTCTCTTATCCCAACCATGGGTAAAATGTGTTATTTCATCCCCAAATGTGATTCGAAACAACAGTTTTCAAATCCACATTTATGTGTGGAAATGTATGTAAAAACAGGCTTCCCCCCTGCCCTCTGGAATTGGCTCTAATTAGGGGCTAACTTCGAATAAAAAAAATCATTTTGTGTATGTGCGTGTGCATGCACAGGTGTGCCATGGTGCTCATATAGAGGCTAGAGGACAATTTTCAAGAGTCGGTGCTCTCCTTCCACTGTGGGTTCTAGGGATAGAACTTAGGTAGTCACAGCAAGCACTTTTACTTGCAGAGCCATCTCACTAGTCCAGGGCCTAACTTTTATAAAATGAATTATTACACTGAAGGTGTTCATGGTGTTCAAGTGCAGGTTATTACATAGTCAAGTAAATTCAACATCTGTGCCAATAAATTAAGAAAGATATGGTATCTTGTGGTTCTGAAGTATTGATGAATTGTCTTCTGGCTCCAGAGACAAATAGAGTCAGAGTGTTCACTCATTAGCGAATGGCCACGTTAGGTTAGCATTTCCTCAAGACCCCATTCAAAGTTTCACTTTGATCTTATCTATTTTCACCAGGCTAGTTAATATTAGGGTGACTTTGAGGATTCTTTCTTTTTATTAACCATTAATTATTTGAAGTCATTCTGGGCTTTGGAAATCCTAGATTTCATTTCTTTCCCCTGTAAATGAAGAGGCAACCCATGAGGTTGTTAAACAAATTCTATTCAGTAGCTGGAAAAGTCAATTTCCTGTGGAATGACAGGAATTACATAGAAGCAAGCAATTTTATTTTCCTCAAATGTAGCAATAATTTTAATCTGTACATACATAAAACAAACAGTGCAATTATAAAACCTTGAAGGTGACATGCATACTTTAAGGTGCAGTGGGGATGGGGGAGGATGTTAGCATCTCCAATTTTCCTTACCATTTTTTTTTTTTTCCTAGGTCCTTATGCAAAAGCACTGAGTCAGGAAACTTCATCTGGAATGCTGAAGTTAAAGGTGAACTTCCTGAAGTCCGCACGTTTAAATATCACAAACAAAGTGGAAATGACCTCCTAGAGCAGTTTGGTAGGAACTAGACAGTACACTATGGTTGGGCTTTCAAGCTGGAAATGAATGAAATCAGGGATGCATTTTCTGAAAAAACTGAGAGATAATGTTTGTAACTGAGTGCTCTATTTCTGTTTCATAGTTGCTACCCACATGAGCCCTTCCAGCATTTTAAAAAAATTCGGTGGTTTCTGAAGAGATGCTGTTCAATGGCGTTATCTGTAATTAGGGGTGGTGAGATGCAGAATGAAGGACCCGGGGAAATGGCTTCTTCCTTGAAGTCTAAGTAGTCCATGCTCCTCATCCATGTTGGTTCTTATGGCCTTTTCTCTGCTACGCAAGCAGAGGTAGCTGGTGCAGGTCAGTGTTGTTGTTCACAGGTCCAGGGGTGCAGATCAAGGTCAGTGAGGGTCTACCTTGGCTTCTTCTGCAGCGCCTCCCTCAAGCTCTCCTGGCCTGTAGTGGAACTTCTAGAACTAGAAAGTCAGTTCACTGGCTCCTTTCTCAGAGGCCAGGATGAGATGGGATGCGGCAGAGTAACAAGACACAAAGGGAAAACATGGTACCAATAACCCTCAGAGCAGAAAAGAGAAACTTATATTTGAACCAGTGGAAATTCAAATTCCCAAAGTCAATATAATAAAAAAAAAGAGAGAGAGAGATTTTCTTTGAGCACTGATTTCCCTCTGTTCAGGTGGCCTATACACTTTGATCAAGTGAGCCTGGACACTCTGGGGTGGTTTGCTCCAGCTTGGCTGGAACAGCTCTTTCTGGCAGTGCCACTTTTATGAGACCCAAAGTAAATCCACACATGGCTTCACAGCTACTCAAATAATGAAATATTACTAGCCAAATGTAATTGCAATTCAGTGTTATATTTCACACACAAATATAGAAAAATCAAGAGAATGATAAAAACATAAAATTAAGCAGAAGGAAATAAATTTCTGTAAGAAATCAAATATATTTACAGTGAGATTTAAGGAAAAAATAAGCTACTTGGATCATAAATTTAATTTTATTTTAAATAACTTCAGCTACCTCGCTGTTAACACAATAAAAGAAAGAACAGGCTGCCCCCCCCACCAAATTTAATCAGAAAATTCTATCTACAATAATTGACAGAACTCAGTTCTTGTCCTTCACCCATCTCATCAAAAATTATTGCATTTTCCCCCAAACTGCATTTTTTTGGATTCCTCTGTGAATATACTCATTTCATCCTCTTTCCTGGAGGCATCTTGGTTTAAATCCATCTTTTAAAAAAGGAGAAGGGGTACATATGTGGAGGCAAAATATTCTCTTGAAGCCAACAGAGACAGAGTTGCTTGAAGAAGCTGATTGTACACACAAGCTGCCTGGGGTTGGGGTAAGGGAGGGCTGTTGGTTGGAAGAATATGACAGCCTTTGGTGGCAGACACAGGCAAAGCCCCACAGGCTCTTCTTCCTGGGCAGGGTCAGGGCTGAGCCAGAGGCAAAGCTTTGTCTTCCCCTTGGAACTTGTTATTTTGGTTCTCCTCCAAAAGCCTTCATCCAGATAAGAAGCCAATGACTGATTATAAAAATAAGAACAATTAAATTTTGGCTCAAGAAATAGATTGTCCAACTGTTCTGCCTTGTTATTTTTTCAATATCCAAGGCCTTTACAAAGAAACAAACAAAAACACCTCTCAATCTCCCAAAAAAAGTGAACTTTTTTTTTTTGCTCCAAATGCTATGACCTGAAGAATGGCTGCAGCTTGAGATATCAAAAATCTCAGAAAAATATATAATATATTTGTATAACTCTGTATGTCTATTATTTAAATTTCACATTCCTTTAAAAGTGGTTATTCAGTCAGTAGCTGCTGAAGGAGACTCTTCTGCTGGGCTTGGGGGGTCTGTGGTCCTGACGTGGGTTTTTGAGTTCCCAGTGGACCAGGCTGGTTCAGGTAAGGGTCCCCGCCTACCAGATTCACTGTACATTGGACGTCAGCAAACACCTGAACCTGTTGCACCTGCTGGAACACAAATAAAAGATGTGTTTAGACAGAAGGGTCTGCCCCCCCGGCTTATGAGTGGGTACTACTTGAAGTGGAAACTCACTAGAGCATTCCTCTAGTCTGTAGTCACCACAGAGAAGAACTCTTCTGTCTTCTTGTCCTACAAAAAGAAAATCGCTGCACTCATTTTGCTCAGGGTTCTGGAAAGTTCACACTTAAAAATAAAATCAAAATTGGAATGGTCATGCCTCCTACAGAGTTGCCATCTATATTCAAAGTGTTTTTCCTAATATTGCCAAGGCTGGGAAAAGCCCAGGTCTAGACTTTGGGTATACAGTGGTGGGTTTAAAAAAATTAACATGGTAATTGGGAAACTAGTTTAAAAGCATTTTATGGATGGCTTTAGTCAAATAAAAAATCATGTCACTGAGAAATTAAGGGCTTTAACCCAGTATTAGCAAAATAAAACCACCACAACTCAGTAACAGGGCATTAGCATTACTGAGGTTAATGCCCAGAAGATTTGTGTAGGATACATAGTTCTTTCACATAATGGCTTTAGATTTACAACAGAATATCAGCAGAACAATTTTATATTTGACTTTTTTCCTGATAGATAATTTACTTAGACACATGAACTAAAAATAACAGCAAACTTACTAGCTGAGAACAGTGTGAATTTTCCCTTTACTTTCAGTGGTAATATATGTAGTCCTTAAAATTGTCTAAAGTTGCATAGTTCTGGCATCTTCTATTGGGAAAACAAAACCCAATACCAGTCCTTCCCAACTAGCCTTATTAAAAAGTTGTTTATATAGGGCCGGGTGTGGTGGCCCACGCCTTTAATCCCAGCACTCGGAGGCAGAGGAAGGCAGATCTCTGTGAGTTCAAGGCCAGCCTGGTCTACATAGTGAGTTCCAGGACAGCTGACCCTGTCTCAAAAAGACCAAAAAAAAAAAAAAACAAACAAAAACAAAAACAAAAAAAAGTTGTCTATAGAACTGGTAAGGCCAAGACCATACTTGTGAATGTTCCAGATGAGGAATAGAAAGCCTTCTGAGGTAGTTAAGTGCCTTCGATGTTTGGCAAATATGCCTCATGTTTAACAGGCTCATAAAGTAATTTACATTAGTGTTATCTTTTTTTTGTCACTTACCACTAATGTATGCCAATTACATACAGCTTTTCTGAAAAATTTTCTGTCCTAAAGAAAATACAAGTTGTTTTCCATTACCTTCACTGGCCAAGTGCCCACTGTCCTGACCATCAAATTTCTGTATAAGGCTAGCCCGTGGTCTCTTAATCTGTTTATATACACACTGTACTCTCTCTTTGGTATGGAAGACAGCCCCCAGTTTGAGCTCTTTTAGTGCCTGATATATTGGCTAGTTTCACACAGTTCCTTTCTTCATCTTCCTCTTTCCCTGGCTTCTCAGATTCTGCTCCTGGCTGATTTGCTTTCACTTCTCTCCCTCTTTGGGATTTTTCTCATGAGTCTAAAATATATCCTCTTGGTCTATTCCCAGTTACCTCTGTGTCCTCCTCAGTGTGCTCTGTAACTGCTCATTCCTATTCTTTTCCTTCTAGAGCTCCATGGTGCTTCCCTGTCTCTCATGTCAACCACCCAGCCTACTTCTGCTTTACTCCATGTTCTTCCTCTTTCCTCTGTCTGGCTTCTTGCATAGCAAACCTTGGCTCTCCCTGAGTTCTCTCCTTGTCTCTTTTTTTCTTCTTTTCTACATACCAGTCTCTATATTTCTATCTAACTCAGTCTCCAGTTTCTGTTTGGCAAACATAAAACGAGAGATCAAGTAGAGATGTTATTTATGATGGTCTCTAATGGAAAGATTATGCCACGGAAACTTCAGATGAGCACAAATGGTGATGCTTTTTAGGCACTAATTTTTTTTAATCAACATACAAAATTTCATGTTCATGTTTCTAAATATGAAATTCTGGGGTAGAGCCTAAGGTAGTTTTTGTTCTCAAGTATTTTAAAACAAAACAAAACAGAGAAAATCCTCCTTCTTTAAAAAGAATATTTTGAATGTGTCAAATAAAAAAATGTAATGAGTAAACCAAATCCCCAAATTCATGTTAGCCACTTGGAACTGTTACCTAAAAAGAGGATGCCTGAGACAGACCTCAAGGGATTTCAAACTGCCACATCTACACAGATAGGCAAGGCATGACACAGAAATAGCTTAAGATCTGCTGGAGAGAAGAATGAGTTGAGAGCTCAGCACCAGCCTCTGGTACAGAGTTCCCAGCAGTTTTTATTTCAATTTAAGTACCGTTCAATGGCTCTAGAATCTAAAACCTGGTTGTTTTATGTGAAATAGTTTGTAATGTTGCCCAGTTACCTGTCTCTGTGTGACTTTAAAAAACTAGTGAATGAAGATTATTTTCACTTCTCCATCACAAAATATCCATCCTTTATCTCACAGGACTCAGATGGTACTTCTCACAGCTCAGACTCTGGATACAGCATCCTGACTCACCTTTCTCATTCATACTCAGCCCCAGTATACATTCTTTTACCTCTTCCAACCAAGGACAAAGCCTAAATTAGTGTGCTAGCAGTGATCTCCTTCAGGGATGATTTTGCTTATAGGACCAAGTCTAGATTTCTTAGTTCATGATTCAAGGCACCTGGACATTTGCTGTCATCTACTTACTATACCAACTTTGATTCCTATAAATTCTTATTGAGAACCTTTTACCTTCAGTAGATTTGGCTTCCCATAACTATACTAAGATATTACTATTGTCCTGCCTCTGGCCTCTAACAACTACCCTTCCTTTCTCCTTCACTGGATCTGGAGTTGTCATTCAAGCCCAGTTTAGTCCACCTCCATGTAAATGCTCTCTGACCATCTTAGCTTTATTTATTTTTCAGTGCTGAGATAGACCCGGAGCCTCTATGAGGCAGGCAAGCCCTCTACTACTAAGATATGTGCCATCTCTGTTTCTCCTTTCTGTGAATGCATATGGCTTCTGTTACTTGTAACATAAACTTGGTCGCCTGCCTTCTTTGGTTATATAATTTATGTGCATTTCTCCATAAACTGTATCTTTAACAGGCTCTAAGTAGACTTTGGTATTGGGAAGACAGTGGTCTGAACCTCAGTTCTTCCTTCTATCTTTATGAATGATGCATATAGTTAAGCATCCTCAGGTTCATCTGTGAAGAAAAGGAATACTGCAGCCTTCATAGAGTTATGGTGAGGATTAAATGAGATAAAGCACAAAGTGCATATCAGTGTCTGGTAAGTCATAAACTTCCCAAAGAAGCTTCCTTTCTTCTCTCTACAAAGGGCAAGAAGATGTATGCATTTTTATCTTTCTTTGTAGCATGATGCCTGTGGTTAATATTTATTGAGATTAAATCAGTTACCAAAGTAAATTAAAACCCCTCAAATTCCCAAACTTAGGCTAATATAGAAAAGTGACCTCTTTGCTGTTTGTGCAATTCAGAAACACACTTCTAAGCAGCAGGCATTGCTTTGTCTTAATTTTTTAAAAATATATATTTAAAATATTATTTTTATTTTTTATGTGTATGAGTGTTGCCTGCATGGATGTGAGTGCACCCGTGTTGTGCAATGCTGCAGAGGTCAGAAGAGGGCTTTGGATTCCCTGGAACTGGAGTTAAGGATGGTTTGTAGCTGCCATGTGGGTGCTCAGAATCGGACCCTGGTCCTCTGCAAGAGCAGTCAGTGCTCTTAACTGCTGACAAACCCCTGCTTTGTCTTAATTTACTGAAGTCTTCTAAGGTGCTTGATTATAGATTTTTAGAAGTGTGCTTATACCATCAATTCATGGCAATCTTTGTGATTCTCCTATCTGTCCTAAGAACTGAGTTAAATCTTCTGAAAGCTTATCTCATTTAATACTCTCAGCACCCTATAAGCAGGCATCTTGCTATTCATGTGGTCATACAGCAGCTCAGGAAAGTTCTGTAGCATGCCCACAGTGACAAAGCCAAGACGAATATAAGCCAGGCTTATAACCATGTTTCATTTCCCAGTTAGGCTCTTAACCACAATGCTGTGCGATGTCCTCCACATATCTAGAGTGCATTTGACAGCTCTGTGCTAGGATTTCCTTACTGACCTGGTTCCCATCTGCTTCTGTTTTGAGAAGGTCAGTAGATGAGAGCTGGTTGCAGTAGAGGCCTGTGTGTCTCAATGATGGATCATTCATCTATTAAAGATAAATAAAATACCACATTACAAGCTAGTTGTTTAAGGTGAAAACCAAATTCTTCAATGAGAAGCCATCTCACTGACAGAAAAGTAACTGGAGGACAGCAAAATTAAAAGCAACCTATGAACTGTAATAAGTTAGATAGTAGTTCCCTTTGTTGGGTGGAGACTATATAAAGGAACAAAAAAACTTCTGGGGTGGGTGCTCGTGCTGCTTTGTTTTTTGACCTAGGCAGTAATTATTTGGTTGTGGTCAGTTTGTAAAAATTCATTGTCTCTCTAGCTGTCTCAATTTTTTTTTGTTTCTGAGTTATTCTCTTCTCTCTCACATACATACATACATACTCAAGCTGATTGGCAATAGAATTCCGTTTCAGTTAAGAATCAGTAACAGAAGGGCTGGAGAGATGGCTCAGCAGTTAAAAATTCTTAGAGAACCTGGGTTCAATTCTCAGCACCCACATGGCAGCTAACAACTTTCTGTAACTCTAGTTCCAGGGGATCTGACACCTTCTAATCTCTGTGGGCACTGTACAACATGGGTGCACTTACATACATGCAGACAATACACTAATATACATAAAATAAAAATAACAAAATATTAAAAATCAGTAACAGATATCATATTTATCCTACTATCTAAGTCTACTAAAATGCACATAGTATATGAACTAAAGGCATTTAAGACATGAGACAAAGGCAATGTGAGACCCTGAGCTCTAAGATTTGGGAAACTATTGGGGAGTCTCTACTATAGCAATTGCCTAGCCTACAGCTTGGTGAGCTCCTTGAACTGAAGACAGGCAGCTGGAATCCACAGGGCAGAATATCAGAAGAGAGTTCTGAGGAGTGAGGTCTGGGAATGTGCACAGACACTCAGGTCTGTGGCTCACAGATGCAGAGTAAAGAGTTGCCTGAACAAATAACATGGGGATAATATCCAAACACCACATAGGGCTGGGATCAGGTCTCAATCCCAGCAGCCAGAGTGGAAAATGTCAGAATCTATGAAGTAGTATGTAGTACAATAGAACTGCTGTCTCAGCAGTAAAGAAAAACTGAATAGAGAAGAAATACTGCTTTTGTCCCATCAAACAGAAAAGACTGGAAAGGAGCAAACTGCTTCCAGGGAACAGAACCATTTCCCACAAGTATCAAGAATATTTACAAAAAAATAAACAAGGTAAAATTCATATATCTGGCATCCAAGACAAAATTACCAGTCATGTAAAGAAGTAGAAAATTATGAGTCATAATGAAAAAGAAAAATCAATGAATTGAAATCAATCTTCAAACAATTAAGATGATAAAACTGACAGGCAAGAATATCAAGATAATTATAACAACTGCATTCTGTTATGTTCGAAAAGCAAGTACAGTGCTTTCTCTGCCATGACTAAGTCCTGGGGAGGTGGAGGCTTCAGTGCACTTAAGGTTCAGCTTCTCATATACCCCACTTCCAAGGCCAAGGCAGGCATGCTGGTGGAGGATTTATGGACATTAACACTGTGAGACAAGAGGTGCTGAAGATCACCCTCATCCACAATGGTCTAGCACATGGAATTTGAGAAGTTGCCAAAGCCTTGGACAAGCACCAAGCCCATCTTTGTGTGCTTGCATCCAATGATGGTGAGCCTATGAATGCCAAGTGGGTGGAGGCCCCTTGTACTAAGCACCAAATCAACCTAATTAAGTTGTTCACTACAAGAACCTAGGGGAATGGGTAAACTTCTGCAAAGCTGATTGAGAGAAAATGCTGTAAAATGGTTGGTTGCAGTTGTATAGTGTTTAAGGACTATGACAAAGATAAAATCTCAAGCCAAAGATGTAATTGAAGAATACTTCAAATTTAAGAAATGAACAAATTCACAATTTGGTTCATTTAACAACGAAGCAAAGCTGGTGAGATGTCTCAGCAGGGAAAGTGTGTGCTGCACAAGCCCGATGACCCGAGTTTGATCCCCAGAATCTACATACAGGTAGAAGGAGAGGACTGACTCAACAACAACAACAGTGAAGCAAAAAGACTGAAATATGAAAGACATGTTGGGGATCTGAAATATATAAAAAGATCAAAATAAAACTTCTAGATATGAAATTGAATGTCTGAGATAAAAACAAACTAGACAAAATTAACAGATGAGACATTGAAAAAAATTAGTGAACTTGAAATTGTAGGAATGGACAGTATCTAAATTTGAGCTGATAGGGACCTGAGGATGCAGCTCAGTTGATAGAGTGCTTGCTTAGCATGCAGAAAGCCCTGGTTCAATCTGTAGCACTGCATTAAAAAAAAAATCAGGCATGGTGGCACATGCCTGTAATCCCAACACTTGGGCAGTAGAAGCAGGAAGATCAGAAGAGATCAGTTAAAGGTGATCTTTGGTTGTATAGTGGGACTGAGGCCAGCCTGGGCTAAATTAAACTCTGTCTCAAAAAAAAAAAAAAAACTCAAATAAAAAAACAAAACATACAGAGAAAAAGATGACATCATCCCAACATCAAACCCCCTTTTTTCAGGCTCAGAGTATCAGTGAATGATTGAATAGATTCAAGTGGTCTACTACATGTCAACTGGAGCCTCTGTAGGACAGGAGAAAAAGTGACAGAAAAAATGTTTGAAGAAAGACCAACACTTCTGAATTTGATGAAAATGACATATTCACGGACCAAGAATCTCAGTAAACCCCAAGAATAAGAAATGGATAAAACTATATTGAAGCATATCATAATCAAGTTACTTAAAATGAGTTATAAAGAAATTTAAAAATCAATCAACCAGAGAAAGGAAAAAAATCATGTGTCGAACAGAGATAAAATGACAGCAGATAGGAGATACCTCATCAGAATTGACTGTGGAGCAGAATCTTTAGAGTACTGAATGTGAAAACTGCCATGCTAGATTCAGAGAAAATAATTTCCAAAGATAAATGGAAGACAAAGACCTTTTCATGCATATAAAAGCTAAAAGAATCAGCAGTAGACTTGCACCATGACCAATATTAAAGGAAGACCTGTAGGCAGAAGGAAAATGATACCAGAAAGAAATCTGAAACCACAAAGGAATGAAGGCAAGTGGAAGTGATGACTACATGGACATACTCTGGTCTGGAACTCAGAGGTCTGCATGCCTATGCCACCTAAGAGCTGGGATTACAGGTATGCATTTTGCCTGGCATTGCATTTTTTAAAAGTATATTTGTGTGTGTCTGTGTGTGTGTGTGTCTGTGTGTGTGTGTGTGTCTGTGTGTGTGTGTGTGTACAAAACTTACAGGAGTTGGTTCTCTACTCTACCATGTGGGTCCCACAGGTCGTTAGGCTTGGCTGGTAAGTACCTTTAGCTGTTGAGTTTGCTCTCTAGCACAATCTATCTTTTAAGGACTAGTAATGATCAAAAAAACATGGCGGAAAAGAATAAAGAAGCATGGCTCTTTCTGGTAACTGTCAACATCTAGTTTTCCTTGAGCTACTTCACTGTGGTGTGGTGTGGTATGTGTGGTAAGTTGTGCCACTTACCTGATCAGGGCACACAGTATTCATTCCTGGCATCTGCAAAGAGCTCATCTGCATCTGGCCCATCATTGGGTTCATGTTTTGAACGTTTGTATTTCCACCTGCCATGGACACCGTGATGCTCATGTTGTTGTATACTCCTGGTTGTGCAGGTGTGGGTTGGTTCTGGACAGCTTGACTGAATACACTGCTAACTCAAAAACAATCCCGATTACATATACTGTTCATGAACATGGGGTTAATGTGATTTGATTTTGTTTTTCATTAGACAGAATTCAAAATAAAATATATTTTAAATTCATACGTAAGATTGTGTCTTATATATCAGAGCAGACAATAATACAGGTAGTTTGAATTCTGTCCAACAGACTTAATAATGAAAAGAGGTCATGCCAAGTTCCCTCCCCGGGGATAATTTCATATCTTTTCTCAGAAGCAAAATATAAGGACAACTATATTTTTCAGAGGGCTTGTTTTACTGACTTCCTTCTTTCTCCATGTTCAAGTTCTGGATGGTTGCTATACCAAAGATCTCAAATGCAAAACTCAGGTTTTTTTTGTAATTAAAAGAGTATGGAATAAATTCCAAGTAAATTCAAATTGCAACTTTACATTTTAACCTTGAAAATTCTCAATGACACAAATATATATACCTAAAAGAAAGTAATAAATTGTCTCTCATAAGATTTATAAAATACCAAATATTTTTATTATTACTCAATTGTTAATTCTGGAGAAACTGAGTCCAATAATAATTCCCCCCATCATAACTTATTCTTTTTTAGCTCTCAAGTGGTAAGCAGGACACCATGACATTTATAGCTTCTAGTCCATTAAAGTAATCACACTGAAATCAAGCCAAGAAACAGCCTATCCATCATGTCTGAAGAAAAGTAGCAAAATTTTCCCCAATTATAAAATACCAAAAATTATCTGCCTCAGAAATGGTCAATAATGCATCTGCGGACCGTTAATGTCTGTACAGTGTGCATGCTTGTTAGGCAGTGTTCTCACAACTGAAGGCACAAAAGAAATCTTTAATCATTTTCTAATGAAAAAATTTCTGCTTTAGATACCACTCTTTGTCAATTGCTACATAAATCATCTCTAGGGAGGAGCCAGGGCTCTATAAATTACTGCATGTGGAAGCCCAAGAACTGCAGTGATGTCACACTTACTGAAAAAGTTAAGGGCTTAATTTCCTTTTGAATTTAAATTCAAATTTAAAAATTTCCTTTTCCATTTGGGACTATATATTAGCATAAATTCAAACTGTTCTTGCTAATAGTTAGTTTACTTTCTTCCATCAAACAAACAAGATGGAGCTCTTCGGTAGCCTCAATCAGTGTCCTATGTCCTAGAAAGGACATCTGGGCTCATTGGCACATTAAGCCCAATGCTCATAGGACCTCTCATGCACTTTGTATTCCTGTCTACCTCATGGAGATGACCAATGTTTTCTTAAGGTAGCACCATGTACTTGTCAACCCTTAAACACGGGAAGGAAAGAGAAAGATGAAGACACTGGCCCAGAGTAAGTTCCGTGAGGTCCTTGTTTAAGTAAGTCTGAGAAACAAGGTTAAACAAGAGGAATGTGGCTTTAAAAATGCTTATAAGCATTAGAACTCTCCCTTCAGATGAGGGTTATATAGAGACACAGCCAAGTTTCAGGACACATAGGTTTGTTTTAGCTATGAGAGTTTTGAGAAGAGTGTTGACATCCTATCTCAGGAGTTTGAACATTACTCTAGTTTAATGTGGAGATTAAACCATAGTGGATCAAGGGTAGAAGATGTGAGAAAGGAGGCTATAGTAATGGTTCAGGACAAAAGTGATGGTGGCTTGTCTTATAGTGTGCTATATGCAATAAATAAGGAAGATGATTTATTTGTGTGTTTGATGTAGGACGTGAGAACAAGTGAAAGGCTTTCTTCTGAACAATTAGAATGGAGTTGTTATGTATTAAGATGAAGAAAAGTAGAAGAGCAGGTTTTAGGAAGACTGTATCAGTTCAGTTTTGTCATGTTAGGTTTGCGATGTCTTTCGATTTCTAAGTGTAGATATCAATTAGGCAGCTGGATATACAGTACAGTGTTCAGGGGAGATATATAGGTTAGAGATTAAAACTCAAGTGTAATAAGCCCACAGACATTTGCCACAGTAAGACTGGATCGTTTTTAGTGTTTATGTTGTGTGTGTGCATGTGTGACTATGCAGATGCATGTGTTTATGCATGCATGTGGAGGCTTGAGGACAACCTTGGGTGTCATCCTGAGGATTGCCATCTACCTCTTTTGGGACAGGATCTCTCACTGGCCTTGGGTTCACCAGTTAGGTTAGGGTGGCTGGCTAGCAAGCTCCAGGGATCCTCCTGTCTCCATCTCCCCAGGGCTGGGATTTCAAATGTGTATTACAACACCTGGCATTTTAATATGAGTTCTGAAGATCAAAATCAGGTCCTTGCCTTTATAAGGTAAGTGTGTCACTGATTGCGCCATTCCCCCAGCACCCATACCCTTCATTTGTTTGAGACAGGGTATCCTAAAGCTCATGCTGGCCTTGAACTTACTAGGTAGTGAACTCCTGACCCTCCTGCCTCTACCTCCCAAGTGCCAGGATGACAGGTTTGCCAAAATGTTTGCCTTGAGATTGGATGTTACAACAAAGAGAACAAGTAGTTATGAGAAAGAGTTTTTAGGATGAATTCCTGGGCCCCCATGTCAGTCAAGGAGATGATGGCCTCTGGCAAAAGAAACTAAAAGGTAGGAGGGAAGTCACCTTTTCCAAGCAAAGGGGTACACCCCCAAAATGATGAAATAGCTTCAAGAAATGGGAAATATGTCAAATTCTGCTAACAAGTATTGCACTTGGCACTACAGAGGACATTAACCACCTTGGCAGGGATGTTTGTGGTGTAGTGGTAAAGATGGAAGTCTAGCTAGCTCAAAAAGGAGTGCAAAGAAATTAGACTGTAAAGGTGAACACAGAGGTATGTTAGTGAGACCTGTCAGCATGGCTCTTGTCTTTTTTTTCCTTCTTCTCTTCTTTCTTTTTTCTCCTCTTCCTCCCCACTCTCTCCCTTCTTTCTTGTATGGGGAATCAGACTTGAGGCCTTGTGTGTGCTAAGCAAGCACTCCACTACTAAGCTATACTTCTAGCCACCCAGCCATATTTAAATACTCAGATAGAGGTATGGAACAGTAGCTTAGTTGGATTTTATTAGAAAGAGTTGCCAGGTGTAAGTGCAGTGGAAGGAGAGCTGGGGAAGGGAGGTGAATGCTGATTGGACTGATGGATCATGGAATCACAAATAAGGCTAGAAGGTTTGGGATTAGAACATGTTAGGACACTAAATTCCTCTTGCATGTTTCAGAGATGGTTCCATTCCTACCTAATTTGCAGTCTTTACTGAAAGCTACAGTTTTCTTACAGAAAGAAAGAAAACTTCTCTCACCTTTCAATGAACTTTAAGAGAATATGGTTTTATGTTTTCAACTTTAACTGCCTTACTTATTATGTTGTCAGACTAAATGGCTTCCCTGTCATTAGAACCAAGACACAACCAAATTAAAATCCTTATAAAATCAAGCGATGTGTGAAAAGTTCAGCAGCCAGAATTTTTTTTTTTAAAAAACAACTTTAGTGAGCTAATTCTAAGCTAAGTGGGTAAGATGAGGCCACTAAAAATTCAGACATCCAAGAAGAGGTGAGGGAGAACAACTTAAGAAGCCCCAAGATCTTTCGTTGTTGGTGTGAAATTTTTCAAACACACTGAGAAGAGTGAGGCCTATGTGCCAACTCTGCAGTAACAAATTCTGACATTTTACTAGTGTTGCCTTGCACTGTCAGATTTTAAAACGTTCTTATAAAGAAATGCTTTTCAAAATTACCCATTTCTATGTCTGTCTCAGAGAAGTATTACTGATGGGAATGAATCACATCCTATGGTGTGCTAAGGGTAAAAGGTCAGAAGTCACTAGATACTTCTTTGTACTGTAAATACACAAACTTGCCTTAATGATGATTTGATACTTCAATCATTTAACAATCATATTTTCCTTTGCTGATAACAAAATTCAGTTCCTTCTATCATACAAATGGCAGTAACCCATTATCTGTTTGGACTGCGGATATAAAATCACCTCAAGGAAGCATGGCTGCTGTTACGTGTTATAGTGTCAGGGATGATACATAAAAACTGTCTCCTTACTTGCTTCCTATTGTTCCTTGCTGCCAGGCCTTCATGTCTGGTGACTGGTATCCAGACGTGGGCGGAGTTTGTTGGAGCAGAGAGCTTTGAGGAGGAGGGATTGGCATTGGCACCATGGAGCTCCCAGGGCTTAGAGATGGGGCAAAGCTGGCCTCACCTTGTGGAACCAGTCCTGAAAATTGACAAATATAAGCGTTGATGTAAATATACTACAAATGTACCAACACCATAAAATAATAAAAAAATAAAAGAATCTGCTACAATTTATTTAGCAATGTCTTCTTCAGCAGAGAAAAAAATTAGGAAAAGTGGGTTTCTTTTTATATATAAATATTTTTTAATTGAGCTTTTGTAATTTCATACAGTTCTTAATCATTTTTAGAGCCCCTCCCCATCCATGCCTCCCCCATCCCCCCACTGGTCCTCATGTATTCTGCCATACATGTCAAGTCCTATCCATTCAGGCATTTGTACCCAAATGTCCTTCAGTGTAAATTCATCCACTGGAGTCTACTCAGCCCATGTAGTGATCATGTGTAAGGCATATGCTCCCTCACCCAGCTCTTAAAGTATGTCAGGAAAATTTTTTTTAAAGTTTTTTTTTAATTGAATTTTTGTGTATTTCATACAGAACATCTCAATCAATCTTAATCATCTTTATACTCCCTTCCCCACCGGCACCTTCCCATAACTCCCCCACTGGAATTCATACATTCTGTCATTTGTCTTAAGGCCTACTGTGTCAAGTTAGTATCCCTAGGCATCTCTCAGTGCAAGTTCATCTACTGAGTCAGCCTATCTAAAGTCTCTCACTTTAGGAAGATCAGCTCTTTCTCTTGAGACATGATCTCCCTGTAGCCCCAGGTGTCCTGGAACTCTCTATGTAGACTAGGCTGGGCTTGATCTCAGAGAGATCCACTTGCCTCTGCCTTCCCAGTGCTTGTGCCAGCATATCCAGCTGGCAGGGAATTTTTAATGTAAGTAGATAGATAAACACAGAAACTTGGAATAATGGCTTTTAGTCATTGAAATACTGATTTGTACAGCAGGACTATGTCTGATCTTTTAATGTTCTTTTTTTGTTAATAACAATAATTTGTAAAAAGCATGAACATACATGACAGATTACTTGTGTGATAAAAATTACTTGGAAAAGAAAAAATTAGGCAAGAAAAACTCATTTTCAAAATGCAAAATCATCAGAAAGTTGTTAACCACTCAGTCTTTTTGTGGGCTCTTCTTCCTTTCCCTCTTCTGAAAAGCAACTAGAAACTGAATGTAAAGAGAGAACCATAAAGTCTTAGATGAAAAACACACTATATGGGATGAACAGCTGTTCAAAAATTGCATAAGAAAAGAATTAACATGAAGATACTTTAACAATGGAAGCTATCCAAGATGAAATCAGAGAGAAAAAGACTGAAAAAACTGCTGGGTGTGGTCGTGCTTGCCTTTAATCTCAGCAATTGGGAGGCAGAGGCAGGTGGAGCTCTGGGAGAGCCAGGCCAGCCTGGTCTATAGAGGCAGACTGGGGCTACAAAAGACCCTGTCAAAAAATAAAATTGAAAGATTAAAAAGCTGATAATTCACTCTAAATTGATCTCTATAATCAATTTCAGCATGGGTTTTGGCAAAATTGACAACCTATCCTCTATTATACATTTTAATGTATATGGAAATTCAAAGGACCTGGAGTAAGCCAAACAATTTTGTATAGAAAAAATAAAATCCTGGGCTTCTTTTTAGTATGCTCAAGTGTCCTTCTAACTTAAGAAGCATCAACATACATTGAGTTTCTAGTTGCTTTAAAATTCCTATATTCACCACTAACTAGTTTAAAGCTACTATCTAGTTCTAACATCTGTATGACTTTTATTAGTATATACTAATTATATAAAATAATAGGTCTCACTGTGACATTTCCACATTTGTATATAATATACTTGTTTATATTTGCCTTCCTCATTTCCCTGTCTTGTCCCCTTTCCCCTCTCCCTCTGGTATCCTTTGTCTTTTCAAATAGTATGGGTTGTTTTTGATTGGTTAATTTTTCTATTATTACAGGCTGTATCTTCCTGCGTCTTTGCATGCCTGATGGTTTTAAAAGTGAAATTTCAGATTCTCTGAAGTTTATCTTGTTAGGAGCTAAATCTAAAAAACTTTTTCTTTAGTATTTCTGAGATTACTATCTTGGGTTGTGGTTAGGTTCAATGGAAACAGTTTAGCTCTTTTGGGTCTTGTGTCCAGTAAAACAAAGAACAAGGTTTAGGTTGGGGTTTATTTGCCCTACTGAGGCAAAGTAGTAGTATTCTACTTGATACTCCATGAATTCTGAGGCTTTTTCACTCAGGCTAGTTAGAAGACAAAGTGGTCCTGTGTGAACTCTGAAGACTATTCCTCTTTTTAGGTGATCTTCTATAGCTTTGTGTGCACATTACACATGCACACATGCATGCTGAAGGCTCTATATGGCTCCCTCGTGCTGTCTTCCCCAGCATTGTGCCCTGGGAACCAGATGCCTTGTCTTTCCTAGCCTCTCAGCAATGCTGCCCAAGCCAGGGAGACCCACTCCTGGTTCCTGCTAGTGTCTCTTCTTTGCATCATGGTCTGCCAATCTCCAGAACTGTTTAATTTACTCTGTGTCTGATATTGTTTCCTTCACATGGGAGCATAAATATGATCCCTGTTATTACTCTATTTTAGCATGAAGTAGAAATATCTTAAAAATGTGTTTCATGTTTTGTTGTTCTTTTTCACATTTTCCCCAAAGAAAATTTATCTTATAGTTAAATGCTTTTCAGTTTGAAAAAGTTTTAAAGGTCCAGAAAAAGGTATTCCATAAGTGGTGGATAATTTAGTATTAATTCTTTCAAACCTTCCTCAGAAAATCATGCGTAATTTCTTTTGTGTGTTGTGTTGTTGTGTGAGACTGTCTCACTATGTAGTCCTAGTTATCCTGGACTCACTATGTAGATGAGGCTGGCCTCAAACACAGAGATCTGTCTGCCTCTGTCTTTTGAGTGCTGGGATTAAAGGTGTGCATCATCATGCCCAGTCTAGTCATACATAATTGTGACCTGCTTCTTTCCCTTATCATTATATCACAAGCATGTTGCTGTGTCCTTATGTCTTTACAAGTACAACTGCATATCACTGTATAAAATACTCCTTGGTGGTCTATCACTATTAAAACTAATGACCTTTTTCCCTTTTGTTTAGCTAATCTGGTCAAGATGTACTTAATTTACTCATTTTTATTTTAATTTACTTATTTTCAGCATTTTATGTTATGTGTATGATTGTTTTGCCTGTAAGTGCAACTGTATATGCAATGCTACAGAGGCCAGAAGAGGGTGTTGGATCCTCTGGAAATGGAATTAAGGACAGTTGTTAGCTACCATGTGGGTGTTGGGAACAGAACTCTACAGGCTAGTGCTCTTAATGGCTGAGCCACCTCTCCAGCACCCTCATTTAAATTTTTTAATAGAGTATAATTTTAAAAATATTTTAAATGTTTTGTAAAATCTGTGATTCATGTATATTTCTTATAAATTTTTCTTTCACTAAATGCTTAACTACTTTTGTAAAGTTGATTAAAGGAATGTATTTTGTCCTTAATGTTTCTTCTTGATCTAATTTAAACTCTGACAAATAATTTTGACTTAGGATATATGGAGAAATCTCTCTTTCATTTATGATTTTTTGATGGTACATTTTTGTTTTGGACATTTTCATTTTTATGTAGATGATTTTTTTCATGATTCCTATATTTTAAATATTACTCTGGTTGTAGTCTTAAACTGTCTAGACAGTTGTATACATGAGCTGAGATCTAGTTTAGAGACAGGATTGGAATTACCACACAGAAGTAGACAGGACCATGAAGGAGAAGCAGGTGTAGTAGTATGTGTCTGAAATTCACAGAAAAGGGGTTACTAGATGACCTTCAAAGAACCCAGAAAGTTGGTAAAATACAAAAAAAGAATCCCTCATGTTTACTTTGGATATTACTATTGTAAAAAGTGATTTTAAATGTTTAATTCTGTTCTTATGTATCTATCATCATGGTGTAGTAGTCTAGTAAAGTTTTTAGTTTTGAGAAATACAAGGAAAATATTCTGTTATTGTTATTATTTATTATTATTCCATATGTCCTTCATTTAATCTGGGTCTATATTAAGTTGAAAGATGCCAAAGCAAAGTTAACATAATTATTTTTGGTGTTAACTGTCTTTGATTAACAAAGGGATCTGTATACTTTTTTGGTAAGGTCAAATGTTATAAAATTGTTTTTTTGCAGGTTATAAGATTTCAGTAACATGTATTCAATTTCATTGCATGAAGCTAGTCACAGACTAGTGAGCATGTGAGCAGAGAAAATTAGTGAACATAGTTATACTTTAATAAACTTTTATAAGAACAAGTGAACAGTATTAGGCTCAGGGGTCTAAGTTTCTTCAAACTCTGAAATCTGCTGGCACATAATGTATTTCAGTACTTAAAAAAATTACATGTACATGTGCATGTCTTTCTGGCAGGTGACCATAGAGGACAAAGGGGTTAGATCCAACTGAAGTTGGAATTATGGGGAGTTGTGAGTCATTTGATTCAGGTTCTGGGAATCAAACTTATGTCCTCTGCAAGAGGGATACATGCTCTGAACCACTGAGCCATCTCTCCAGCCCCAATTCGGCCCATTTATAAACCATAAAGGCTGAAAAGCTCTTAAATCTGGATTTCCTGAAGCTGCAATAAACTAACTTCCTTGCCTTCTTCCTTTGCTCTCTCCTGCCAGCCTTTGTGCTCCCCTGCCTTTTTTCCCTCTTGCCATACCTATTTCGAGTGATTTGAAAAGGTTGAAACTTTGATGGAACACCAGTTTGTATCAAATTAAAATCTGGTTGAAGTCCTCTAACCAGACTGCTATCATGCTGGAGCACTTTATAATTTAGAATAGTAGAAATTAAGGACGTTGTACCTTTAAACATTATAATTCCCTCTAGACAAATAACAATTTTTTTACAGTATTCTTCTGAAGTAGGTGATGGAAAAACTCAGAGCTCTGCCATTTTATTTCAGTTTGCAAATGGATGAAACCACTACTACTTTCTTCACTGGACCTGTCCTCTGAGTTCTGTTTGTAGTATGAATGCTGACTTTATAAAGAAAAAT